TCATAGAAATCAAACCCTGATTAATTTTTACAACACTCAAGGAAAATGTCAGACATGAAAATGTTATCTTATGGCACCATTGTATATGCAAGCCTCCAGCAATGTTAGAGTTCTGCTGGGCAAGCTTCCTTTCCACTGCTGCTGTGGGTGCTTTTTCCTGCTGCTGTTCTATCACCTTCCTTAAATTCAGCTGTGACTGCAGGGAAGGCTCACTCCTGAAATGCCTTTCCCTGCCCTTCACTGACGAGGCCACAGGGTTCTGTGCCAGGCCTCCCTTTGCCCTGGGGCTTCAGGATGGTCTGAGGGTGCTTCTGGAGCTCTGCTCACCTTTGGGGTGATGCACATCCTGCCCTGGGGCTCAGCTTTGGGGTGATGCACATCCTGTCCCTGGGGCTCAGCTTTGGGGTGATGCACATCCCATTTGTGGGGCTCAGCTCAGCTTTGGGGTGATGCACATCCTGCCCTGGGGTTCATCTTTGGGGTGATGCACATCCTGCCCTGGGGCTCAGCTTTGGGGTGATGCACATCCCATTTGTGGGGCTCAGCTCACCTTTGGGGTGATGCACATCCTGCCCTGGGGTTCAGCTTTGGGGTGATGCACATCCCATTTGTGGGGCTCAGCTTTGGGGTGATGCACATCCCAGTTCTGGGGCTCAGCTTTGGGGTGATGCACATCCATTGCCCTGGGGTTCAGCTTTGGGGTGATGCACATCCTGCCCTGGGGCTCAGCTTTGGGGTGATGCACATCCTGCCCTGGGGTTCAGCTTTGGGGTGATGCACATCCTGCCTCCCCAGCTTTCTCTCAGCTGCACTGGGGCTGGAGCAGACCAGCTGCCACTGCCACTCTGCAGCTCAGTGCAGTCAAACATCAAAGCTCCAGCTCCACTTCAAAACCCTTTAAGTTTTAGGACTTGAGGAAGCAGAAGGAGGAGTTGTGAGGGGAAGGCTGTGGCAGGGAATGAAGGGCTGTGTGAGGGAGGGCACTTTGCTCTTGCTTTACACAGCGAAGAGCAGCGAGTGACTGTGATTTGTGCTTCTTGTGTTCATG